GTAGGTTGGTGTGCTACGTGTATCTGATGCTTTTTCAGTTGTCTTTCGACAAGTTCAGATACATTTTTGATGTATGGGAGGGTCCGCCAGGTATACGTTTTTGGTGCTTGGGTGGCCGCTGTTTTCGAAATACCTTTCTGTTTAAACTCATGTTTCATGCAATGATGCACAAAGTGGCGCGGGTAGCCGTTGTGGGAAAATAATTTGAAAAGGTATTTCACTTCTGCTTGATAACTTTCTTCATCAGAGCAGTGTGTTTTAGCTCGGTTTAGTAGGCTGTAGACAGTACTCCTCTTGTGAGTGATGGGGTGGTTACTCTCAAAGTGTAGGATGACCTCGGAGTATGCTTCTTTGCGATAAACTGAAGTCTGAAGGGATCCGTCAGTTTTTCGGCATACGAGGACATCTAGAAATGGGAGCTGTCCGGCAACCTCTGTTTCAAATGTGAACTGAATTCCTGGAAATGTGGAGTTAAGATTCATGTGAAGTTGGTCTAATTGGTTTCTCTTGACAATGACAAATGTGTCATCAACATAGCGTAGACATAGTTTTGGGTTAATTTTTGGAAGGGCTATAGACTCCAGTTTCTGCATTATGGCTTCTGCTAGAAAGCCAGATATAGGCGAACCCATAGGAGCACCTTTCAGTTGCCGATAACATTGTTTGGCGAAAGAAAAGTTGGTTTCTAGACAAACATCAAGTAGTTGGAGTAGAGCGTCGGCAGGCACATCAGTGGTGTAAGTCTGAAGGAGTTCTTCGGTGCAGTGTCTCGCTAAATCTAATGGAATCGAGGTGAAGAGGGAGACTACATCGAATGAAACCATTATCTCGTCGGCAGCAACAGTCACTCCTTTTAATTTGTCTAGGAACTGATTCGAATCTTCAATGGAGTTCTCAGAGTCCTTTGTAAGTGGATGCAGATGGTGAAATAACCACTTAGAAATCTTGTAGTTTGGTGCACCGATTAAGGAGACTATCGGTCGCAGTGGAATACCTACTTTGTGAACTTTAGGAAGTCCATATATTTTGGCAATTGTGGGTTCGTCTTGTTTTAAGGATTTAGCCAGAACTCCTGAGATTAATTTCTTTCCTGAAAGGCGCTTTAGTGTTTTCTCGATGCATGAATTCTGCGATTTTGTGGGGTCGGCATCTAGGGGTTCGTAGGTGGATTCGTCTTTTAATAGTGTCATCAGCTTCTCTGTGTAATCCGTCTTGTTCATTATGGTGGTGGAGCCTCCTTTGTCAGCGGGCAGAATGATGATGTTTTCATCAGTTTTAAGTGAATTTAGTGCACTCAGATGAGGCATGCATCAATCGGCATATCGATTTAGATGCCACATACAAATTTCTCAAGGACAAATGGAAGCGAGCGCAGCCAATGCCGAAGGGATGACGAAATCGTTGACGCGCATTGGCGCAGACTTCGGCCAACCATAGAATCACTTGTTTGACACGGTTAAATAGTTAACTGTTTTTGTACATTGCCCAATAGTCTGACGACGAGCTGGGGATCCAGACTCGAAAATTTACTCATTAAAGTTTATTCCCTTCCCAAAGAATCTTACTTATTTTCAATTAAATTTCTTGGGATGCCCGTTTTCCAGCATATATATATATATATTGGTGACGTAAGCGACCTATATTAAATTAGATTGGAAATCCACTTTCGTATTCTCTGACGTTTTTATGATCACTTTTGTTCAGAGGTCTCAACCACAAATTTTGGATGCAAAAATATCGTGTCAGCAATAAGCCATTCAGGCAGTTGTTGGCTTTTGATATGTGTGCGAAATGTATTTTGTATATAGCATGATTTTCTTGGTCAATGCTGCTTATATCAGTGTAATATGGGAGGTTTAACACCCGGATTCAATAATCCGAGTCAGATAGTATAACTGAAGACCAGTTTCAAGAACGGCATCAGCAGCATCAACTGTTGAATGGGTTTAGCGTGCATTTTTTAAGTTACGCTAGAGGTCGGGCGAATTAAGTTTGAAAGAATACATATCTTCAAAATGTCTTTTTTCAGAATTTATTAAAATATTCGATTACACAGTCATGATAAAATAGATATCATCCAGAGAATAGTACACACATGGGAAAATGGAATAAACCTTCATTCTTGTTAGGAGGCTAGAATTACCCATGTTGTACTGCAAAAATATAAAGTTACTGATCGCTTTTAAATTAAGAGTACATGCGGATGTCGGTGAAACATGAACACGAAAATAACTACTAATGCAAACCAGCAAACCTCAGACAATAAAGTTTTGTGTGAACGTTGGTACAGGTGGGCGAGATGAAAAAATACTTTAACTAAGCCTTAACCCGGTTGTATTCAGCATTGCTTATCAGTACATAACACTGATCTTTTAACTAAACTAAGGTCTTAAAGCGTCATTCGGGGATTTGTTTTGCATGAATGACAGTGTCGCATCACGAATCACCCCGGTAAGTCCTGATCTTTCTGAATGCTCGGAAATTCAGCAGTACTACGTGATTCAAATACAATGTCCACCAGTTATGACCACTAAGACGTCTCGATAATGCTAGTGGGACTCGTCATTTATGGACAACTGAAACTCAGGGGGATTAATATTTATGAAGATATGGTTATTCAGGCAGGTCACATGCTTTAACCAGAATGCAATCAAGTCCGCTAAGCTTTTACGTCTCAAACATATGACGTGGTGGCCGTTCATACGTCAGTCAAGCAAACGGAGAATCAGCTAAGGATTTGGTAAACCTCAGATAGCAATGGACACCCCGTAGAGAACTAAAAAGCGAGATGCGAAACCCAAAGTTGATAACCATAAATTCTTATAAAAATGAGAGCGTAAGTTGACAAAAAGGCGAAGGACAGTTTGCTAGCCGCCACCATGTCGAATGCACGAGCAGCGGCAATATTTTGCCCATACATAAGAAAAATGAAATGTTACTTGCTTTCATTTTCATTAAGGTCTTACGGGGTGTTTATTACATAAAATCTACGCAAAACCCTGCAGAGAAACCACCCAGTCCACAGCCTTGTCTCGTAAATGAACGAATACCACCCATCACATCTTACGCTGCCTCCTGATTTTAAAAAGACGGCATATTCCTGTTTGCGATAAAGAAAGCCATCCTTAAGAATGCCTCCAGTAATTTTCGAACGAGACCGTGGCGCGACAGTGTGCAAACGACCAATTTTTTGCTGTTGACCTGAAGAATGAAGTTAATTGATATCACCGGAGAAAGATCTTATTTGGTCTTACCGACAGGTTTCTCTGTTGGGTTTCCTAGCCTTTTATCAAGTAATCAAACATAATAACGCATATCGTAAACGTCGTACACAGCGGTAATTATCTCGACGATAAACATACTTTAAATTTCCGGCGGCAAATGAGCGGCTCTACATTTTGTTGAAACGGACATAAATTTACGCAAACAATGCACGAGGAATTGTGCGTCTATTCCCATGATACGACCGAGCCGTGCTACACTTTCAGTTTTTTTTGCAATTGTACATTGGCATTAGGTGTGGGTACATTTTTATGCAGGTATATTATGGTCTTCTATGACTCCCGCATATTTCACAGACTTCGAGAGGCAAGGGATAAATGGGTCGCATGCGGTGTTATTGCCATTAGTAAACTGAGGGATATTTTATGTACTTGCACATGCTGACGTAAATGCGGTTCAAATACTGCCTACGATTAAGCAATTTATAATGTCGTCTAACGCCTACATGTACGTGATCAATGACCTAGAACCACACTTCAGGCTGCTGTACCGTCTCGCGCGTGGTTATCATGGCACGATTAGGAGACTGAATCACTGTGTTTGCTGAGGTACCACTAGGACTGATCGAACAGTTAAATAGTATGTGGCACGTTACGATATGGTACTCATGGAAACCGAGTGTGTATGCTATTTCGGGCACATAATGACGATAGCGGGACCACTGAACTGCGGAAGCGCTTTGACCAGAGAGCGACGTGCGCGGAGTCATACCGGCGTGCCGGAGCTTGACCTAAAAAGGGAGACCACCATCGGTTGAAGGATTGCAAACAGACGCACGACCATCCAAAATGCCCGTCTTACGCGAATGTGATAATAGGGGCCGGGCTTTTGTATGCCTAGAGAAAGGGTAAAGTAATTATAGGTAATTAGTCAATTCGTTTTTTGTGTGATCAATTTGTATGCTTTGATATATAGCAACATCAGCCGACCCAATTTGGTAAGTTGAAACACCAAACTGGAGTGAATGTGCCGGACTAAAACCCACTTAAAGAAGTCTAGTAGGTGCCACAGATGCTTGCGGGGTCTTCACCCGATCCTTATGATTCTAATGTTATGCAAATACCGCGGCTGGTTATTGCAGCAGCTGTGGACATCAACATCGTCATATAGGCAATATAAAATGGAACTGTCCTTTTGTGTGGTATCGGTAATCTTCGAAAGTACGGCATCGATTGCCACACACTTGCGTCTGCTTAGTGTCCTAGTTATGCCGATGGCGGGCCTGTGGTGTGTAGTAAAACGTGTTTTTCCTGGCATAACAACGCCATCTGGTGACTCGCTGGCCGGCAGCCACTTGATCGGCATCCACTTGGGCACGCATGCGCCTGCCAAACGCCGGTCAGTCGCACATGCTCCGCTCGACGGCTGCACTCTCCACATCCCGTTCACCCACAGATACTTGAAAATGCCTCCTCCCTCCTCTAGCCGATGCAATGTGGACCGCTAGGGCAAACCACACATTAGGCAAAAAAGGCATGCAAATCTTTAGCCCCACTTGATCTTGCTTAAAAACATACTTTGGCTGTCGCCGCTTCCGCTGAAAATGTCCGGCGTGACTCCGTCAGCTGTTGCCCCAATTTATTGTGGATATGTACGCAAAAATCATGACACAATGCCTGCTTTTCATTTGTTTGAATTAGACCACGCTGCGCTCTGAAAAATGCATTCGTTTGCCTGACGCACTTGTAAACGACATTAATAAAACTAAGGTTGATATACTACCTGAACAGTTTGACTTTTAGTTCACCACAATCTTTGCGGCATACGAGGACATCCAGGAAGGCCAGCTGGTTGTTCTCTTCCTCCTCCATCGTAAATTGAATGTCCGGTGAGACGGCATCGATATATTCTTGGAAAGTCGACACCTGATCCCGTTCGATGCCGACCATGGTATCATCTAAGCGCATCTCGTTCGGCCTTGGAAAGCACTTCCCGCGGCCTGTGGGCAATAAGGAGAGACGACATTTTGTGTCGGATGATACTCTTAATCTCCTCCGTTGCCTCCGTCTGAAAAAGGATTGATTCCACTGCTGCAATCATGTTAACAGGTTTGGCGTCAGCATTGTTAAATAAAGCTTCGTGCCGTTAAACCTGCATTTGGTACTTTGTCAGCTCCTTTGACAACAGGTTGTGCACCAGCTTGTCGTTTCTGGGCGACGTTGGATTGTCCAGCTGTCGAAATTTGTTCTCCAGTGCTGCGTTGCGTGTCATGCCCTGTTCGCTATGTTCGTTGGTATTTCACCATCAAAAAGCGCAATTCTGGGCACGGTATTTAAATGATACCCTGGTCTTTAGCGACCAGGATCAGCTGCTGACATGCAAAGAAGGAGGAAGAGAACAAACAGCTGCCCTTCCTGCATGTCCTCGTATGCCGCAAGGATTGCGAAGTGTTCAGAAAGCGACAAATGCGATGCAAGTACTGAATTTCAACAGTAACCACGCAATCATCCACAAACGCAGTTGTATAAGGACGTTCTATCGGCGTGTCGAAACTGACTGCAGTGAGCCGGTAGACAAGATTGCCGAACTACAATACCTCCGACGGGTCTTCAAATCCAATGGCTACCCGCGCAAATTCGTCGACCGGTGCATACACAAAATGGACGAAAGGCCTAAACGCACAGACACCAAATCTTGGCAAGCGCTTCCATATGTCAAGAACGTTTCGGAAACTGTCGGCCGCATTCTTGCACCACTTGGGGTTGGAGTGGTTCACAGACCGGATGCAACCATCAGGCGTCTGGTCATGAAACCGAAATACCCACTGCCACGACTAGAAACGTCTGAATGCGTTTATCGGATCTGGTGCAGTTGCGGACAAAGCAACTACGTCGGAGAAAGCGGAAGACAGCTCCGATTGAGAATTGCCGAACAAGCGGCAGTGGTGCGCAAACATGACGCCAGCTCTGAAGTTGCGGCTCATTCGACTAGATCCGGCCACATATTCAAATTCGATGAGTCCGAAATTCTCGCAAGAGGTGACAACGGTGAGTCGGAAGCTACTGGAATCAAGGTTAACTGACCCCCTGTCCATCAACCAGTGCAACGATCTTCCGACTCCATACTAAGTGCTAAATCTGCGCCTAGGCGGAGTAACAAGCCATGCGGGGAGATTTGTGATCGTTGAAATATTTCAACTAGCAAGGCTCCACAACACCATCAACTCAACAATGCCAGGAATTAAATTCACACGAGAAAGAATTTGACACAAAACTACCATTTTTGATGTTCTCATGGTGTCGTTTGATATAATCTCGCTTTTCACCTCTATTCTAATTCATTCGGCATTTGAAACTCTCAGTGACCTAGTCAACAGCCTATAGACGGAGGCAAACTATACCCCTATGCGGGGGCACCTAGGACAACTGCTTAAATACTGCCTCCAAACCTCCTTTATATTTGAAGCAACAGTGTATGAGCAAATCAAATGTACTCCAATGAGCTCATCACTATGCGAATTCATCTCTGAATCCGTTTTTGAAGTTCGGAGACATTGGTGTTTACAACATACAAGCCAAAATTTTGGGCGCGACATGTGGACGACACCTTCGACCTTCTCAAACGGGAAATGATCTTGAATTTCCACGCGCAACTGAACTCTGTTCTTCCCGATATTCAGTTCACCATGGAGACAGAGAACAAAAATCAGGTCGCGTTTCTAGACGTCTTGGTCCATCGCAAGGACAACGGAAGCCTGAAATCCAAGGTCTACAGGAAGGCCACTAACTCTCGCCGAGTCCTCTCCTACCACATCAATCACCCGCTATGTCACAAACGAAGCTGTGTTCGATCTCTCTACAAGAGAGTTGACACTCACTGCAGCGAACCGGCCGACAAGGTAGCTGAACTCCTACGGCAGCTTTATAAAACGCAGCACACTGTCCCGACCAACCATTAAGTCAACGGCAAATCAGCTGAAAGTCTAGCGAGCGCTGCCATAAATTGAAAACATTTTCGAGGCAGTTGCTCGTATCTTGCATCCATTGGGTATTGACATCGCCCACAAACTCGAATCGACAATTAGACGTTTTGTCATGAAACCAAAAGCGCCTCTACCACGAGGTGAAACTGCCGCCGTCGTCTACCGAATCCCTTGTAGTTCTGGCGAAATAAACTACGTTGGAGAACGCGGGAGAAGATTGCAGACCCGCATGGACGAGCACGCAAGAGCTGTACGAAGGATGGATCTGCTCTCGCTGGTGGCGGAACATTGTGCAGATTTTGGCCATGCCAGCGCTTTCCAAGACGTCAAAATCAAGGGCCAAGAGAGCGATCAAACGGTCAGGGAGACGCTCGAAGGCTGGCACACCACAACTCCATCCACCAACCGCTGCGTAATGTTGCCAGCTGTCTACCAAGCCCTAAGGGTTAAGTTCAACATGCAGGGCTACCGACTAGGCGTCAGGCCAGTGACAGGAGTAGTCGAACCCAGACCTAGCGGGAAAACGAACGAACATAGAGAGGCAACGGGAACAGACAAAACAGTGGACAACCGGCAGCGTACGCAAACCCAGGAGACACGAGCTCACGGTGCGAACGCCCGACAGTGACAGGATACTCCAGCCAGACGTCAACACCAGCAGGAAGGAAAAATACGTGGAGGGCGGACAACGGCCAATAAAAACAAGAACAATGGCCGCAGTCACTCCGACGCGCAGTTTGTTTTATAATGCCTTACTCACACATTAATCGGGTTGACTAAAACTTCTCAAACCCTTTCAAACTGTCTGCCAGTATTCGCGTTATTTCCTTATATATTACCAGGGATGTATTTTGCCTTACCGAATAAGCACTAGGCTGTATCTCTTCTCATCAACCGACGAAGAGGAAAACACCCGAAGTACTCAAATGAGACATTGTTCACAATTAAATTGTTATTTGCAATCGCTTGATGGAAAATATAAGAAAAGTTAGATATGTTTAGATTGTCTCAAGTTTCTTAAAGTACTCAGAGCACGATTCAGTTTGGAAGAACCAGACACTTACGTCAGCATGCCCTGTTAGTCTACATTAAACGGTGTGCAATTCATTGTACTTTTTATATGTCACAAAATCATAAATAATGACCAAGGTTACACGCGGGCGTTATTGCAAACGTTATCCTCACAAAGTGAGTTGCAGATGCTAGTTCTCTCACAGAATTACTCATGGGCTAAGTGGTATGCCATCAATGACGGTGCTTTTTTTCCTAGACAATTTTATTTTAGTGTCATTGTTCATCGCTGGTCTATTCTCACCTTCCTTTCCTGCATACCATGTGGGTATCCGACAGAGATGCTGTTAATGCGTAGTAATATTAATCAATCTATAAGTAGCCATTATTAACGACTGATTGCCTTTGTCTTTGTTACCAACTTTAGGCAGGCAAGAATTCAATGTGACGACAGGTCAAAATGCGCCCTTTGTTGCTTTAACCTACTTCCGACAAAAGCCGCGGGTATGTTGTTTTCAAAAACATTGTGTCAAATTAACCTTGTATGAACTCTCACGCATCTACCGATAACTTCAGTCAGTCACAGTTGGAAATACTTTAGCCTCCGAGGGTTCGCTCTCTAGCCCATGCGTAATTGGGAGCTCCTGTTGGCAATTCCTGAACGGTACTGCATTTTTGATAACTGCAATCTTATAAATACACCTTGGACGTGTCCAGTATGAGGTTTACTGCGCGATTTAGACACTCGATATTCAACTCTGTTGGCGAACCCATCTTACGGACCAGAAAGCATTATTTTGTATCCCCTCGACAGTCAGAAATCTCCTTCAGCGATTGTTGTCAAGCCGAAGAATGGGGATTTGCCGGGTAAGTTCTGACGTTTTCTCATAATTTTTTTTTCATTTAAAAAGACGTTGCGTTTGGCCATTAACTGTGGCATGCTAATGCCAGATTGATATCCTAAGTAAATGTAAAGCTGACATATAGTAATGAATGTGTGAGCTAATGTCACCTGATTGATCAAACAATTTGGCTGTTTTATTTGTGTGCGGATTCTGTGGATGCAGGCAAACGGAGGCCTCCATTTTGTACGATTATTGGCAGGCTGGATACTGCATAGGAATGTAATTATATTTGGACATAAATTACGTAGAACGAAATTAAAACAGTCACGTTTTACTCTTTGGACTTCCAAATGTTTCCAATACGTGAAATATTATTAAAACGGTTTAGCATCCAGATATCCCAGACAACGAAAATCCGTCCTAAACGTGCATTGCGACTGCATATGTTTCGGAATTAAATGGCTCACATTGAAAATATACTTTTACCGAATATAGCTGACTTGGTACCGAAAGAAGTGGGAGAAATTGTAACGCCTGAGCTGAACGATGGAGCTATGACCTCGGTCACGATTTTATACGCCGAGGATGTCAGCGTATGTCTAAAGGTATTCGTTCTGAACATTATATTGTTGTCTACAGCAACATTATTTGAAATGTTAAAATGTTAACGCCGACTGTTATTTTACTTCAGAACACAACCATACACGGACGGATATCGTATTTTAATAAAGTTAATTTGTCAATGCGTTATAGCCTCTTGGATGTTCCATACCGTAAGAGACCATTTTATATTAAATTCATTGTATTTCTTCGAAATAACAGGCATAACAGATTAGATTTCAATAGTTAACTATCAACTATAGCAATTTATGGATGGAAAAATTTTAAAAATCCATTTCGAGCCCAGCACAAAGTCCGTATGATTTGCAATCTAAAAACATATTACTGATTTAAAGAAAAAAAGGGTATGGAAATCCTAAGGATAAATTCTGAAATATGACAAGTTTTATATATTTTATGGACGGAATAATCGTTTACGTATTTCGGTTTCCATAAGCAACAAGTATGTGTAAATTGCAAAAAATCCGTATTTAATCATCCGCTAACATAAGCAAATATAAAATTTAGGTTTGCTGGTCTAGTGTGCACATAATTGCAAATTAATGCCTGCCTTACTGCTTACGTTATGTGTTTTGTTTTGCAAACAAACAGTTAATGAAGACCATAAAGGGATGATGGGAGTTTTGGTGACGGGAAGAGTGGAAAGAACGCCTTTGGAATGCACAATTACATTTTCCGGAAATAAATTCGCTTTGATCAGGATTTTGCCATATGACTACCTTCCTCAACCAACAGTTTTTCGTGTTAACTTCTCTGCGTCTCCAGAAGATTCCTCGTCTACGGTGCCTACAACCTCTTATGCATTCCAGCCAGCGCAAACACATTTGCTCTTTGCATACGTTCTGGCTGCTCTTCTGCGCTATGTGACACTAACATCTAACTGATAATTACAACCTGGTCTACCTCAAGCATGCAAAAGACAAAATGGACAATTTAGCATGCATGTGATTGATAAAATGTTTATGCCAATAGAATCCCTTAATGAGTAAGAAGACAATATTTTATTTACTGACATACCAAAATAATGATTGACTTGCTGTACACGACCAAACTATATGGGGCTTTCTACATTTTTTCTACAAAAATATTTGAATTTTTAAGACCACCAAAAATCGGGGTGACCATTGCGGTCGACATAAATTGCCAATTCTTCGCGAGGGTGGTTTATGCAGAAACACAAAGGAAGTGCATGCAAAAGCCTACATCCCGGCGGGTCACAAACACTTTAAGAACATCTGACATTTTAATTAAGATTAAAACCCCACCCAAGTAATTTTTCTTTATCGGAAACGCGTTTCCGAATTTCGGCCAACATTTAATGAGATCTGTCACGCACTGCACATGTCGAAGTGTGGAACAGCAAGTTAACAGAATACGCGTTACAGAAAAATGGCTAAGCTATGCCTTAATACGCAGGTGACCAAGGAGAACTTATTTTGATGCAAAAATTCAAGGGAAATTTTACTCTATTCATAGAGAGAACGTTGTCGGCAGCAATCGCATTTGAAAAGACATTAAAGCATTTGCTGAAATATATTTATTGATAAAATAAAGCGAGTTATATTATGTTAGATTGTTACTAATCTGAAAATGCACTTCCATATTCTCCGGCGTTTTCATGATGCGGTACGTCCAGAGACATCAGCCTCAACAAAAACATCATCTGTCAGCAAAACATTATTTAGGCCGTAATTTGCTTATGCTATTAGTGCGCAATGTTATGTATATATAAGATGATTTTTCTTGGGAAGTGCAATTTATATTGGTGAACTATGGTACGTTTAAAATCCGGATTAAGTAATTTGAGTCAGGAAGTATAAGAAATTCAAAACCAGTTCCAAGAACAGCGTCAGAGTTGTTAAAGTCGGTGTCTCCGTCTCCAGCACCGGAGGAAACAATTACGTCAATCGTTTGCTGAACTTAGCGTGCATGTATTTTAAAAATAAGCAACAGGGCAAGCGAATTAATTCTTAAACATTTTCTTTTCAGAATAATTCAGAAAATCGGGTGAATCAGTCATGATAAAAAAGATATTATCCAGGGTCCAGTACATGCATGGCAAAAATCATACACCTTTATTTACTTAGCTAGGAAGCTCAATTTTACAATGCACTGCTTGGAAGATATAAAGTTACGTACCGCCTTCAAATCAAAAGTACACGGTGTCGTCGGTAAAATATGTACACGAAAATTAGTACTAATGCAAACCAAAAAATTTCAAATAATGAAAATGACGACGAAGTTTAACAAACAGGCGGATGACACTGCAAGCATCCGTATTGTCAAATGCACGGTTCCAGCTGAAAGCGGCCATCGTTTGTCAATGCAATCATGACAAAAGTAAAAAGTAACTTGTACTCATTTTCTTAAAGATTTACGTTGTGTTTTTCACATAAAATTTTAGCAACGCTTTGCAAATAAAACACTCAGCAACAGCCTTGTTTCGCTCATAGTCTACGGATTAAAATAGATGGCATATTCATCTTTGCGATGACGTGAAATTTCCTTAAGAAATGCTTCCAGTAAGTGTCGAATGAGACCGTGGCACGACTGTGTGCACACGAACATTTGTGTGCCGCTTGTCTGAAAAAGGCATTTAATTGACATACGCGCACAAATAACTATGCTTGTATTACCGACACGTTTATTTCCTTAGTTTCCTAGCTATTTTTCAAGTACTCAAGCATGATATCGTATATCGAAAACGTCTTACGCAGTGGCTTTTATCGCCACGACTGACTTACTTTTACATTTCGAACGGTAAATTAGCGGCTCTCCATGTTGTTTAAACCAACCTGCATTTACGGAAACCCTGTATGAGGATATGTGTATCGATTTCTATGATACTGTCGATGGTAGTGTTTATCTGTCCTGCAATCACCTGACCGCATGACCAACCCCGGGCGTAGGTCGATGTTGCAACAGTTACATCAATTTGCAGACAATGATCGCCATAATTCTCGGAATACGGTGTCCTTAAAAGGCTGATAAGTCGATATTTGAGTTAAAATTATTGGAATCATCAGGGATTCGCTGATTCTTCTAACAAGCACAGGGACGGGAATGTAATTTGTGTTTTCTTCACGTTAATTGCAATAGCGCCGTTCATTATTTTAATCTCTCTTCGCGTAGAACTTATGAGTAGAATACCTCGACAGGGTTCTATTCACCGTGTAATCTCAGTGATGTATACATTACTGTAAGGGAACAGCTGATGCCGAATTTTAGACTAAGAACATGCACTAAAATAATGCAAAAAACACATCCACAACGTTAGTTGAATTTAGGGGGTGTACTAATTTTGAAATAAGAGTCAATTTGACTTCAAAGAAAATCAATAAAGTTGGAAACAGGTGTTTCTCTAAGGACTGCATGTGCAGAAACATTTTTACAATACACGCCGTGGACGACATAATTGGCGCTTCTGATACGGACGTGCTCATGTGATCAAACAAGTCAACTTCCTCGTGTTTCAGCCTTTTGTAGATCATTAATGTGTTCTTTAAGCCGGTGCTTCGTAATTTCGGCGTCATTAACTGGTAAAAGTAACGAAGTAAGACTATGCAAAGCTCCAACAACCACAGCTTTTGTTGTTGAACCTTTGTGAAGTGAGTATGCCTTCTAACGGAGACCTCAGATCCGAGCCGCGCGGCACTTTCAGTGCATTTTGAGCAATTGTACATACGATTAATTTGAGTTTACAGTTTTTGGTGGGTGCATTTCCGTCTCATATGCCTCTTATTTATTTCATAAATTTCGAAAGGCAACGGATAAATGGGCAGCATTTGTTTTTATTGTCATTGGTATGCTGATATATGTTTTATGTGTTTGAAAACGCTCACGCAGATGCGCTTGAGATAATGCCTACAATTAAGTCGTTTTTCATGTCGTCTGACGCATAGATCAAGATCATTGCCACGGATCTCGGCGTCAGGTCGCTACGCCGGCTCGTGCATGTTTAACATGATACGAAAAAGAGATTAAATCACAGTGTTTGCTGAGGTATCTCTAGCACTAATCCACAAGTCAAGTAAGATGTGGCACGTGACGATATGGTACTCAAGAACACCGAGTGTGTATGCTTTTTAGGGAAGATAATGGCGAAAGCACGCCAGTGAACTGCGTAGGCGTTTTGATGAGGCAGCGACATGCGCGGTGTCATGCTGGCGTGGTCGTGCTTACTATCGATTTGGTTGCATCAGTTGGCGTGTGTGAACCTGACCTAAACATGGAGGCAACGATCAGGAGAAGGACACCGATCACACACACGACCAGCCAAAAGGTGCCTTCACACGATCCATACTGGAAAAAAGATCTTCTGCTATGCAAATGCCGAGGCTGCTAATTGCAACCGCGGTACACATTACCATCAGCCAATTATGCATATAAAAATGCAACCGTCTGTTTTTCTGTTATTGCTAATCCCCAAAAGTACAGAATCGATTGCCCTGCAATTTAGAAACAATCTTGCTTGAGCTTCGAGGCGGGTCTTTTTATGGCTACCTTCATAGTTATGTCAATGGTACGTGTTCCCCTACAATATCAACGCCATATGATGACGCGCTGACCTGCGGCCACTTGATCTGCATTCACTTGGGCACAGGTACGCCTGCCAAACGTCGGTCAGTCGCACATGCTCCGCCCGACGGCCGCACTCGCCACACCCCGTCCACCCACAGATACTTGAAAATGCCCCCCCTCCTCATGCCGATGCAATGTGGGCCGCTAGGGCAAACCACACATAGGGAAAACAAAACATGCACAACTTTGGCTCCACTTGAACTTGCTACAAAACACACATAAACGGAACGTCACCGCTTCCGCTGAGAATTGCGCGCGTGACTCTGTCAGCTGTTTCGCCAAAACATTGTGGATTGGTACGTAAAAATTTTAGTAGCACGCCTGCTTTTCATTTGCTTGAAGTAAACCACTCTGCGACGCAGTTATAAACGACAAACGTTGGAAGGCTAACGATTTGCCATTCTCATACTCAGGCCGTCCACATTATATGCATGAGTATGCTCAAGTTTTTACTTTCGTCAGTACGGGCATCAAGACCCATTTATTACATTCACATGGCATCCCGCATGGTGAGATATTAAACAGCTCTTACCTCCTGGGTAATCGTCGGTGGGGAGTCATTACAACACAGATCGTGTTCTCAGACAGAAGCTGAAATCGTCGATGAACTTCATTGGGAAACAAGAGCTGTTTGTATGTGTGCGCTGCTGGATGTATTTGGTGGAATAGCAAAAGACTGGACTGCCCCACGCACATATCTTGATCTGGTTCTACAACAAGAACACATCCAACGAAGTCGACGATGTAATCTGCAATGACCCAGACGTCGACAAATATTTGCATGAAGTTGTGATGATGGGTATGATACATGGACCTTGTGGTACTTTGAATCGCAATTCCGCAGAATGATAGACGGACAGAGAGATATCCTCGGGCATTATTATACGAAACTGCTGTTGGAAATGATGGATATCTTGTATGTGAAAGATAATCAGCGGAAGACGACAGCAAATTAGGAACCCGTACAATCGTGTAGACTAAAATTCCTTAACATTGATACAATGGCAGTTCAAGCTGAAAATTATTTGGGAATAAAGAGAATTTTTAACACCTAAACAAACATTTTCTTCAGTCATAAAATACGATGACAATGTGATTTCCTACCAAGAGATCAAAAGAAAGCATAATTTTGTGCATGTCTTCTGTAGATAAATTAGAATTTACAAACAACCAAAAATCAATAGGAAAAAAGGAATGCTAATTAGGTAGTCATTTTTTGCCGAAAGCGTTTTCCGCAGGAGGCCAAAAAGAAGTGCATTTAAAAGCCGACATCCTGTCAAGTCGGAAATGTTTTAAGTTTATCCTGCATGCTAATCAGTATCACAATTCCACTAAAGTAATCCTTCCTAATCGGAACCGCATTCCAGAATTTTGGCAAACATCTTATAAGATCGGTCACGTACTGTACAATGGCTAGGTACTATGCGGTGGCTACTGGTAGTACCATCTACCAAGGACACTTTAGGGTCCGACAGAAAGGTGGTTAGTGGACGGGCTTCGGTGAGGTGTGCAAGACGATGAACACGATTGCTGTCATCGGGGCAAAACGTTTTTTACAAAGTCAATGTTGATCCGGCAGGCGGTCATCTAACTGGCAGATTTGCAATCTATGCACTCTGGTCTGCTTAAGGATTTATTCTGACGTTATCTGGCCCAAGTGATGCCAAACACACCGACTAAAATTCAGTAGGAACACAATATTATTACCATTACTGTTTAATGTGGCCTGGGCTACTGTCTAGATCTGCAACTGTTTCAAGCAAGGTAAAGGCGACAGTAGCCCTCGAAAGCTTATGAGAATGGGATCTGAGAGAAAGGCCAAGCAAAACTATCCTTAGGTCCGGGCACATGGTCGATAGCTCCCACTCATCTCAAATAATCTTGGCAACCGCAGCGTGTCGCGGTAATTGCACAGACGCTGCCGCCCCAGAATAGACAGGTATTTAGGTGCTTGTTATCCATTCTCCGAACTTAGCTCCTAAAAAGCAATGTAAGTACTGTGAAAATGTATTCGTATTAGGATAGAGCTGTCAGTTAGTGATTTCTCCTATGGACTATAGGCTGTTGTGGTTTCATATTCAGATGAAGCACACGACGCCTCGATGATAATGCTCTAACTGGCCGACGTACTGACAAGTTCACGGTTTTCGGTAATAACATACTGCGTAGATCACGTTTGTTGACGCATTTCGTGAATGTGTCGGTTCCCGAAAAAGGTACCGAATTCTTACTAATTTCCACAGCGACATTAGTAGTAGGTTACGATATTTTCATTGTGTTTGTTGATTCATGCCCTAATTGGACGATTCTCTTCAATCAATCGAAAAACACCAACCACTAAATTCGTAGTGGTGATGTTCAAAATGATATTTTGGACCAGATCCGCACCCGTGGCACTAATGTGATCGCTCGGCTCCGTGTTTTTACGGGTTCGCGTGCGTCTGGCTTTCTTTAGGAGACCATAACGGGGAAACTGGAATCGATAGCCCTTCGAGATGATAACCCAAAACAATTGCTGCTCTGCGTCAAATATATATCTGCGAATGCCAATCTGAAGGACATGTATGTCAATGGTAGCGGGGCGCTCACCGACTGTTTAAAGAAACCGCTCGTCCCGCTGTGCCTAAGGCCCTCTCTCTAGCCGAACCAGCAGCCTCACAGCTGGTCATGATAAAGGCAGAATGTCATTACTGATTAACATAACAAAACGGTCTACTGTTCAAACTTGTGCTTTGACTGTACATTGTATTGCTGCTCACCCGAAAAAAAAAGCCAGTGAAGCAGCCAGCGCCTGGCACGGTGCTTCCTGAGGCCTACTAAATCTGTCAGATGCAGCTCAATGAGCAGAAGAGCAAACGAACACCCATGCTAAGCGTGAATCAAAACACGATCGAGTTCATTGCGGATGCGCAATTAACTGCCTATCCACCCGGGTCCGACGAAGACGCAGTCGTCACTACGGCCTCACAATCCACTAGTCAGGCTGACGAGAAGGCGGAGAGTCGTGGCAGCGCAAACAGATTTGCCAGACTTGCATGACAGCTAAGGTCAATGGACGTACAAACAACGGCTAAAACGTCTCAGCGCCGTTGCAGGGGTACATTCAGTCACTCTTCCTTCCTCCCCGTCCGCGCAGTCTCAGTGTGCATGGGGATGAGGCCAGACAGTGTATGCTGCGCTCCAAGGTGCGAAAAAGATGGTGACTTGAGCGCAAGTTAGTTTATCGTAATGATCGATGTATGCTGTTTAGGTGAGCAGCATTCAGCTTCGCGGGCGCATCGGTGAGACAGTGTTCGGCTTTGGTCACATGACCTCTGGCCCCAAATCCCGCTCTTTTCCATGAGCGTTGACTCTCGGTCCCGCGTGCTCGCTTGCCTTACTGGTCCTGTCCGGAGTGATCAGAGCCTCGTACACAGTTCCTGGTAGGTGGGATGTAGATTTATAGCTCGGTTGATTGTACCCGTCGAGGACCAACTTTCGAGCGCCAGTTTGGCCATCTTCTCATTGGCTCGACCAATTACCCTCGCTTTCTCAAAGGCAGAATTGTGGTTCAGTTCTCGTATGTGGCCATAGACCAAAGACACCATGTCTTTGCGGTTGATTGCAAGTTGGTGTTCGCGCAATCTTGTAACGAAGCGTTTGCCCGTTTCACCGGCATACCTCGCATTGCAATTTAGCAATGGTATGCTGTAGACCACCGCCGACTGTTCTGTTGTTGGTAGCGGGTCTTTGGGCTTCATGATTTGCTGTCTGATGGTGCATTCTAGTTTATGAGCCACGCCAATCCCAAAAGGTTTCAGGATTCTTGCCGTTGGCTCTGATACGTTCTTCACATAGGGTATTGAGAGCCAGAACTTGGGCTTATCTCCACTCGACCGCTCAAAATGAGGCGTTTTGAGGCAATTGCGTATGAACGACTTCGGGTAGCCGTTGGCTTTAAAAAGGCCCTGTAAGTACTTCATCTCCGCCTTCCTCCCACTGTCGCCTCTGCAGTGTGATTCAACACGCTGAAAGAGAGTTCTGACACATTTGCGTCTATGACCAACAGGGTGGTTGCTTGGGAAGTAGAGGATGCACCTAGTATTTGTTGTCTTGCGATAAACCGTTGCCCTTATTTTCCCGTCCGTCAATCTCGTAACTTGTACGTCCAGGAAGGGCAACTGACTGTTTACTTCCCCTTCCATAGTAAACTAAATGTCGGGGATGATCGAGTTCAAAAATGTCTTCAAATCCTTCAGCTCGCTACTCTTGATTACAACGAACGTGTCGTCGACATATCTTGCCCAGAACTTCGGGGGGTACGAGCTGAAGACCTGCTGCCCGAGTCTCTGCAAAACTGTTTCGGTTATTAGTCCAGAGAGAGGCGAGCCCATCGGTGTCCCCTTCTTTTGCTGTTTACGAGCTTCTTAAACTCGCTGGCGGTCGATGGCGCATAAGCTTCCGTGTCCATCAAGAGGTTGCCTAGTTTAGTGCAGTACTCAGCCTTATCCATGACGACAGGCTAGCGCCCCTAGTCGGCTGGCAGGGTGACGATATCCTTCATTTTTCGTATCTTCGGAAGTTCTCAATCTTCTGCTTTAGAAATCGTCATCTGGCATTTCCGTTGGAGGAGTAAGGTCGACACTTGTTGTCGCATGGCGTCAAAGCAGCAATGCTCGACAGCGCTCGGCGTCACCGCAATTTGCGTGATGACCAGTTGTCTGGAAAATTTGAGAAAATAAGTCCGCCAAAGCAGTCCTCTGCTGACGGTGCTTTGGTTTACAACTTGTCCTGTAATCGTTTCACTCAGCATCTACTCGCGGTTCTATCGTATGTCGCGAAGTTCAGCACAAGAGATGCTCAACCAGAAGACTTTATTGCATCCTTTGAATCGGCGCTCTAGAAGTGTGAGGCAGACGAGGAGTGCAAAAACGCCATGCGACAACAAGTGTCGACCTTACTCCTCCAACACAAACGCCAGATGACGATTTCTAAAGCAGAAGATGGAGAACTTCCGAAGATACGAAAAATGACGGATATCGTCACTGTTGAGAGCTTATTTCCATCGTTATCGCAAATATCGGGAAAGTGGCACCTAGCAGTGGTGTCCATTGAGGGATGCCCTTAATAAATTCGATACAGACCGAAGGCAGAGTTTCAGCAGAAAGGCCTTTTGAGTGCTCTGCTTTTTTTGATGGGCATGAGTTAATAGAGGATTTTGTTAAATAATGCCTTAGCCACAAATATATGTCACCACACATCTGCAACTGCCTGCCTTGTTAAAACGCTTTTTAAAATCTCTTACTTTCCAATCGTCACATGATTAGAAGTTGCTCACAGACAAACGTCCAGAAATGCCAAACTTAGGGAATTTGGAAATGTGTTCTGTTTTTACAGGGCTCGCAGATTTCAGGATATTTTTGATGAAAAGGATTCACATTTACTTTTAAATGAGCTTCGCTAAAGTGAAGCAAACGCCTACGCGTATGTGATATTTTTTAAGTTCTTTCGAAGTGCTCATAGTACGATTAATTATGGGAGTACCAGAAACTTACGTCAGCATGTCCTGTTGGGCTACATCCAACTGTGTGCATTTCATTGCACTTTTTACTTGGCACAAGATCATATATAATGGCTAAGGTGGAATGCGAGTTTTATTGCAAACGGTAACCCCACAAAGTGAGTTGCTTTTTCTCTCATTGAATTACTCGTGGACCAACTGATCTTCCACTACTCATAGTATCTCCTTTCATTTCACACTCTTCTTTTAGTGTCATTGTTCGTCGCTGGCGCTCTTCTCACCTTTCTATCCTGCACACTATGTGGGTATTCGACAGAGATGCGGTTTATGCGTAGTAATATTAATCTATCTATAAGTAGCCATTACTAAGGACTGATCGACTTTGTCTTTGTTTCCAGCTTCAGATAGGCAAGAATTCAATGTGACGACAGGTCAAAATGCGCCCTTTGTTGCTTTGAACTACTACAGGCAAAAGTCACATGTATGTTTTTTCCCAAAAATTGGTCAAAAAATCCTTGTATAAACGCTCACGTGTCTCCCATTAATTTCAGTCAGTCACAGTTGGAAATACTCCAGCCTCTGAGGGTTCGCTCTCCAACCCCTGCGAAATTGGGAACACTTGCTGGCAAGTGCTGAGCGGTACGGTATAACTTGATATCTACTATTTTATAAATGCACTTTTCGCGTTTCCAGTATGACGTTTACTGTGCGATTTAGGCACTCAGTTTTCAAACCTTTTCGCAAACCCATCTAACGGACCAGGAAGCATTATTTTGTATTCACTCGACGATGAGAAATCTCCTTCAGCAATTATTGTCAAGGCGAATAATGAGAGTTTACCGGGTATGTTTTGACGTCTTAGCAGAATATTTTAGTTAAAATATACGTGTACGTTTGTATAGTATCTGATGCATGTCAAGGCTAGATTTTGCTATCTAAGCGTACGTTTGACGTATAATAATGCAAGTGTTGGCTGATCTCACCTGATGGATCAAATAAACTAGTTGTTCCATTTGGTCTGCGAATTCTGCTAAGGCCGATAAACGGGCGTCTTCATTTTGTATGAATATTGGTAGGCTGGCGACAGCATAAGAATCTATGTTAATTCGGTCATATTCAAAGTCTTATTAAGTACTGGTAAATATTCAGTACTTGTAGAAAAATTGCAGATGTCACGGTTTATTATAGGGGCTGTAAAATGTGTCCAATATGAGAAATATACTTAAAACAGTTATGCATCCAGATAAGCTAAACAACGAAAATCTATCCTAAACTTCCATTGCGACAGCATATCTTTCGGCATTAAATATCTCACATTTAAATTATACTTTTAGCGAATATAAGCGACTTGGTACCGAGAGAAGTGGGAACAATTTTAACGCCTGAGCTGGATGTTGGTAATGAGACCCAAGTGACTATTTTATACGCCGAGGATGTCAAGGTATGTCTAATGGCTTTCGTTGTCAACACTATATTGTTGTCTACAGCAACATTATTTGAAATGTCGCTGAGTTAACGTCGACCGTTCTTTTAATTCAGAACACTGCACTACGCGGACAAATAGAATATTTGAATAAATCAAAACCGTCACACGGTGTTAGCCTCTTGGATGTTCCATACCGTAAGTATCTGCTTTATATTACATTCATTGGGTTTCCACGAAATAGCTGGCACATTAAGTTAGAGTTTGATGGTTGAATAAGTATGTCTCAAGCACATAAATTAAATATCATCTTTAAGTACCTGATGCACGAAAAATTCAAAAGTCGATTTTGCAATACGAGCCCAGCTAAAACTGTTTAAACATTTTTTGCAATCTAGAAGCAAGTATTTTTAATGTGTTGAAGCGAGGAATATGAAAACACCCAGTATAATCTCTGGTATATGACAAGTTTATAATTATTAAGTAACCACCATTTTATCACAAACATATGTTTCATGAACTATTTAACCGTCTACGTATTTCATTTTCATGACCAACAAGTATGCTAAATTACAAAATCTCTGGGCTCATTCATGCGCTGACCTAAACAAATATGATTGCCAAGATTTGTTAGCCTAGTGCACATGCTATTAAACAAATTAATGCCTGACTTATTGCCTTCGCCATGCTTTGCAAACCGACAGTTGACGAAGATTTTAAAGGGAAGATGGGCGTTCTGGTGACAGGAAGAGTGGAAAGAACGACTTAAGAATGCACAACTTCATTTTCCGGAAATGAATCCGCTTTGATCAGGATTTTGCCCAATGACACACTCCCACAGCCAACAGTACTTCGCGTTCACTTCTCTGCGCCTTCAGAAAATTCATCGTCAACCTCTTATGCACCCCAGCCAGCACAAGCAAATTTACTCTTTGTGCGTGTTCTGGCTGCTCTTCTGCGCTATGTTACAATAGCATGTAACTGACCATTACAACCTGGTCTACCTCAAGCATGTAAAGAACAAAATTGACAATTTGACATACGGGTGATTTACAAAATGTTTTATGTCAATATAATCTCATAATGAGCAACAAAACACTATTTCCCGAAACAATGTTTGACTCGTAGCGCCAAACCTGTCTATATCGATCCGCGTATGCCTCAGTCCAAACCGCAATTTGCGTAAAATTGGGGGGGAAGGATTCGCGATAGGTAAGAACAGTTCAAGATCTCGCTTCAGGCTGACACCAAGGAAATCGTTTTCCGAATTTACCACACCTAACGTGGCTAGAATGTCGGAATTAAATGCTCGCCTCTGCAGTGGCAAATGTATTTAACTTTAGTCACTAATTCTTCCCGAGTGTAGTTTTTTCCTGGAGGACAACCAGAAGTGCATTCAAAAGCCGACATCTCGGCCAGTCAGAAGTACCTAAAGGCCATATCGCATGGCAATTATTGTTTTTCTCCAACCCCAGTTATCTTTCCTAATCGAAAACGCATTTTAGATTTCATAAGACCTGTCACTCACTGCATATGCTGAAGTGTGACCACCAAGGTAACTGAAAAAGCTTGCAGTAAAAGGACTTTAACGTGCACAGATGGAAGAATCTTATTCGATTCATCGAGAAAAGGGTGACGGCAGCAGATTACAATCGAAAAGTAGCAAAACTATTTGCCAAACTATATTTCTTGGTAAAGTAAGCCAGTTATATAATGGTGGACTGTGATTAATCTGGAAATGCACTTTCATATTCGCTGAAGTTTTTATCATGACGTTTTTTTAGTGACATCAGCCACAACTTTTCGATGCAACCACATCATTTGTCAGCAATACGTCATTTAAGCAATAGTTTGATTATGCTATTTGTGCGAAATGTAATAAGTATAAAAGATAGCGTTTTAGATTAATGCAGCTTATGTCGGATACATATAGAACGCTTATAGTCCGGATTAAATAAATTGAGTCAGCAAATAGAACAGACTTAATACAAATTATAAGCATCAGAGTTAAAAAAAAATGGATGCGACGACATAAAACGCAGTCTTCGCCTCCGTCTTTAGCAACAAGGGAAACAATTACATCAACCGTTTGATCGTTTAAGTGTACATACATTTTAAACATACGCCAGAGGTCGGGCAATTTAAGTCCCAAGGGATTCTTTTCTTAATCTTGTCCTTTTCAGAATGCTTCAGAAAATCCAAAGTCACATTCATGATGTAAAAATATATTTTTCATAGAAGACTACACACGTGACAAATAACATACAACTTGATTCTCGTACCTAGGAAGCTAGAATTTACGATGCACTACTTGGAAGATACGAAATTACGGACCGCTTTCAAACTAACAGTACATGTGGTCGTCGGTAAAACATGAACGCGACAATTAATTAGTCGTACTCGTCAATTTTGGAGAGCTGGATCTTGAGACGATAATTATTTTTGGAGATAAGATTATTCAGGAAGGCCAAATGCTTCAAACAGAATGCCCAGTTAACTTTACGTTCCAAGCATATGACATGGACGCTGTACATACGTCAGTGAAGTAAACGAAAAATCAGTTAAGGATCTGGTTAACTTCCGATATGAATGGACATACCGTGCGCAACTAAAAGAGCCAAACCAAACCAAAATGGGATAACAAAGAATTCTTAGGCAAAATAAGGACATAAGTTGACAAACAGTCGGATAACATTTTGTAAGCCGCCGTCATGTCAACTGCACGGTTCCAACTGAATGCGGCCAATTTTGCTCATGCATTAATGACAACAATGAAAAGATACTTTTATTCATTGTCATAATGGTTTGTGAGTGTTTATTAAATAAAATCTACGCAACGCGTTTAAGACAAAACACCCAATCCACAGCCATATCTCGTAAATGAACGAATACAAGCCACCACCTATTGCGCAGCCTATTGATTAAACAAAATGTTATATTGCTGATAGCGATGACATAAACGTTCCTTAAAAAAATCTTCTAGTACGTTTCGAATCGACCGTTGCCCAAAAGTGTGCAAACGACAATTTTGTGCCGTTGACCTGACGAATCAAATTAGTTGGCATACGGGTAGAAAGAACTAAGTTGGACTAACCGACCCGTTACGTTTCTCAGTTTCCTATCCATTTATCAAGCAGTCAACCATGATAACGCATATAGAAAACGCCGTACGCAGCGGCTTTTATCTCCACGATTGAAGTACTTTAAATTTCGGGCGGTAAATGGGCGGGTTTCTATGTTGATGAAACGAATCTGTGTTTATGCAAACACTGTGTAAGGATGTGTCGATTCCGTTGATACTGCCAATGGTAGTGTGGAACTGTCCTGCAATCACAAGTCTGCGCGACCACCCCCAGTATAGGTCGATGTTGCAACAGTTGCTGAAATATTATATAATCATATGCAGAAAATTTTAGCTCTTATTCACGGAATAATGGGATCTTAATATTATGATGGTAAGAAATATAGGTTAACATTATTCGAAATCATGAGTTATTTACTGATTGTTCTCACACAGACAAGAACGGAAAACAATAAATATTAACTTCTTCATTTGCTCCATTATCTACATCGTTCCCGGCCTACAACTTAGGAATAGTGTTTATTGACCATAGGTCATTCAACGTGTAATCTCAGTGCTGGATAGATTAATGTTACTGAAAATTTAATGCCGACTTTGAGACAGAGGACATGCACTAAAGTACTGTTCAAAAACAGATCCACAACGTTAGTTGAATTGGGGGGTTTTGTAGCGTCAAATTTAGAGTGAATTTGACTTCGAGGAAAATTAACATATATGAAAACGTGGATATCTCCAAAGGCAGCATGTTCCGCAAATTATATTAAACACGCCGTGGACGACGTAATTACCGCCTTTGTGACGGGCGCGCCAGATATCAGCGCACATGCGTATGAAACCAAAAAGTCTACTTCTGAACGTTCATTTTCTCTTTAATTTAAGGTAGTTTGGTAACAGTAACTGTAATTCCAGATAAACATATGCAGCCAATTATAGGTCTAATTCTCGAAAAAGTGGTGTAGTTAAAAGGAAGATGGATGATATTTGGATTAAGATTTTTGGAACTCATTATTCATTTGCTGATATTTATCACAAACATAAATGCGAGAAAATAACAAACGCTTACTTCTTGTTAATCATGATAGCACCGTTCATTATGTAAATCTATTCCTGCGTAGAATGTGGGAGTAAAATACATTGACCATGTTTCATTCAACCTGTAATAACAGTGATGGAAGATAACTATTATTTAACAGTTGATGCCGAATTTACGACAGAGGACATGCACTACAGTAATGTTCAAAAACACATCCCCAACATTAGTTGAATTACGAGGGTATACTATCATCAAAATAAGGGTAAATTTTAATTAGAGGAAAATCAGCAAAGTTGTAAACGTGGATGTCTCTGAAAGCAGCACCATTGGCAACAAATATATAATCCACGCCGTTGAAGACTTAATTACTGCTCTTGTTACGGACTTGCGCATGAAACCAACAAGTCAACATTTTCGTGTTTCAACCTTGTCCATGTCATTAACTGGTAAAAGTAACAAAGTAAGACTGGTCAACCTAAAAGGAGCAGATTTTTTTTTGTTGTATGACCTTTGCAAGAGGAGTATGTTTGCTAATGGACATCTCGGAAACCTACATTGGCCCGTTCTTATTAGTTATGCAGACCTTTATTTGTCTTGAATTTCAGTTGGTAAGGCCGACCCGTGGGACACTTTCAGTTCATTTTGAGCAATTGTTCATACGAATTAGGTGAGAGTAGAGATTTTGCGGGTGCATTACCTTCTCTTTTGCCTTCTACTCACTTCACATATTTGGAAATGCAAGGGACAAATTTACAGCACAGCTCTTATTGTCATTTGTATTCTGAGGTATATTTTTATGTGCTTGCACATGCTGACGCAAATGCGCTTCAAATAATGCCTACAATTAAGCAATTGTTAATGTCGTCTGACGCCTACGTGTGCGTGATCAATGACCTGGAGCCACCCGTCAGGCTGCTGTAACGTCTCGTGCGTGGTTAGCGTGGCACGATTAGGAGACTGAATCACTCTGTTTGCTGAGGTATCACTAGCACTGATCGAACAGTCAAATAGTATGTGGCACGTGACGATATGGTACTCATGGAAACCGAGTGTGTATGCTTTTTGCTGTTTAAAATGACGATAACGGTGCCAATAAACTGCGTAGGCGTTTTGACGTAGTACGATTACGAAATTAAATCACTGATTTTGCTGAGGTATCTCTAGAACTAATCGAAAAGTCAAGTAAAATGTAGGACGTGACGCAATGCTACTCAAGGACACCGCGTGTGTATGCTTTTTAGGGAACATAATGGCCAAAACGCGCCAGTGAACTGCGTACGCGTTTTGACCGGGCAGCGACATACGCGGAGTCATGCCGGCTTATTTGTGCATACTATCGTTTTAGTTGCATCATTTGGCGTGTCCAAACATGACCTAAAATGGGAGTCTACGATCGAGTGATGGACATTAAACACGCCCGACCAGCCAAAAGTGCCTGTCTAGAGGGAAAAGGTGGTAATAGGGGCGGGGTTTATGCGAGCATAAAGTAATGGCAAAATAAGTAAATGCGTTTTTAGCTGGGACAGTTTTAATGCATTGATATATAGCGACAAATACGTACGTTGAAACACCAAATTTGGTAATTTGTTAATTCTTTTTTTCGGGTGGAAAGTTTTAATGCACTGGCATAAAGCAACCGAAATTAAGCAGGACAAGTGAACAAATAAACGTTTAATGTCCAGACAGATCGCTTCTTATTTCTCTGAACTGAGGTCATTTTAGATAATACACTGAACCGTACAACAGACGACACAACATAGTACGTTTGGGCGCCAAACGGGAATAATCCTGTCGGACTTAAACCCACTTAAATAAGTATAGTATTTAGTCTTTTTATGCCACAGATGCTTGGGGGTTCTCTCATGATCCTTACCATTTTATCATACGTAAATTCCGCGGCCGGTTGTTGTTACAGCGGTGGACATCATCATCATCATCATCATCATCATCATCATCATCATCATCATCATCATCATCATCATAATTATCATCATAACCATCATCATCGTCTATGCGCATAAAAATGAAACCGACAATCAGGTGGGTCATCGCACCCTGAATGTTGACATTTGAAATGGTGCGCATTCCGATAACGTCCTCCAGGCTTTGATGTGTACCCTGTGTTGGTCCAGCGCATATACCACATGAGGCAATTGAAGGGGGGTACCCATAACCGCCAGTGCTGGCACGACGGTTGGTAACGTCTCGGCTCCTTCCCCCTACACCTTTCCCAGAGACCATTTCCAGCCCGAAGGATCCTTCAGCCACTTGCGTCCATTTAGTACCAAAAACCAACGTGCGTGGATCAGTACACTCACTGAGCTGATGCAATTCCTCTGAGGTATGCGGAGGTCGATAGCATCGTCAAGGTTTTCGTCAGTCGTGGGGTCGCCATCTTCAATGTCCTGTCGACGGTAACGTCTGTGCAATCTGCTCAGTTTATGCCTGTCCGCTTTCAAGCCCAATTCACATGTCTTTGCAGCACGCGCTTTCGGCCTGCCGCCCAGCAGCCTAGGAGCCTTGTGAAGCGATTCCAGCGTCAACCAAGATCCGCCCAGCTTCCCGAACAGAAACCAATAAACTGGTCTGATAACTTGTACCAAATCAGTGTTCAGTACTGACCACCGATTGTCAGATGAAATGGTTACGCATGCTCGTCTTGGCGTCAACGAGAGCCCTTCTCCACTTATGTTGTACACAATTCACTATTCTCGCGAATGTTGTCAACTCCTCCTATTGGAAACTTGACCTGACTATAGTCTTATTATGACCTCAGCTGCTGCGACAGGGTTGCTGTTGCTTTTTTAAACGAAACGATCGATAGAACTGTGCTGATCCCCAATCCCATTCTCCTCTACCTTCACTACTCCTTGCGTTTGGCCTCCACAATCCCTTCTTCCTCTGTTTTAGCTGCTTTCTGTCCACCCTTTTCTGCTGCGTACACATGTTGTCTCATTCTTCTTATCCAACTAATCCAAGGCAGCATGCGTTCAGCCCCATCCTCATATCCACATCGTTTATATCGTACGCACTGGACGGTGTGTCCACTTTCCTGACCGTTGCGTTCCTCCTGTTTTTTAGACGTTAATAATACGTTCGGTGTCGGTTCACGCCGCCTTCGGCCTTCACAGGCGGTACTGTTGTTACCCCCTATCAGGGTCATCAGCGCCGCCGTTTACCCATATACGCCCTCTGTTCGTCTAACACATGTGGAAAAACCTCTGGTCTTTCACGCTTTTACGTCGAGCTGTAGTTCCCTGTTTACCATATGGTCGTTGCAGCACCTCTGCTGACATGTCCCGGCAGCTTAAGCTGCGCTCAGTCCCCAGGCACTACGACCTGCGGTTCCGGTACCGACTGCTGAGAGGTGCTGGACGCCATTTGAGATGATGCTGTATGCTCTACAGAAGGATTGGAGAACTGGTTTGGACAAGTTGTCAACCGGAAGAGTGAACGCATCCGTCCGCCCAACAGCCAGCATAGCGTCTTCAACCATTCTGGAGACAAGACGTTTATATTCCTGACAATCGGGATTCTCACTAAAACCCATCATCATAGACGGCTGCAAATAAAGGTAGAGGCCAACATCGTCACATGAGCTGACAATTAGGTTCCCAGGCCCGTAATTAATAAGCAAGCGCAATCACCTTTCAGTACCACATTCGGTGTTTAAATATTTTCTGAGCAGGAGTGCACGCGGGTCAGAAAGTGACAGTGGGCCAAATGGTCGAGCAATCGTCATGTCAACATCAAAGACGGTGATGAAACTGCGGCAATTAACGGCTCTCAGTCGGACTGGCGAGCCATCGTCGTCTTAATTACGGGCGCCAGCGGCGATCACGAGAACGGTTAATTGTGGAATGCATGTGGCCTCACTGCAGATATGTGCTATAAATACTACAGTCTTGCGCCGTTTCTGCCTTTATCAACGAATGTCGCTGACTCCGAACCGTCAGACCAATACAATTCTTGTTCCAGCAATCGCATCGTCTTCTTCTGAACGGCTTCCCGGAACTCGTCTTTTCGTTTCTGTGGGATTTGCAAATCGGCTTGCTGTATGACTCAAAAATCGGCGATCGCGTTGGCATGCTTTTCGCCAGGTCGTTTAGCGACAAAACATCAGAAGTCGAAGTAATTAGGCGTGTCCAAGACGCTTCGCCATTTCATTACATTTGTTCTTTAGGAGATATTCTCGATCGCCAGGCCCTGTGCGAATAGAAGTAAAAACGAATATGACATCAACTGCGAGGTCATCATAATTGTTCGCTCTGATTTCGGTGGTACCTAACTGATGTAAATCGTCCAAATGCGAAAGAACTTTACTGTGGGCTTCAGATACGGGGAGCGGTCAATAAATCATTTTCCCATCAAATTAAAATTTGCTAATACTAGTTGCCTGTATAAGACACATTCTACCATAGTAAATGGTTATTTGACCAACTACACTTATTTCAGAAGGCCTGTGTAAGCTTGTACCGTCAGAAACGCAAAGCGCACATTGAAAACTGCATACTGCCCTGAACAAAGATAAGAAGATCAAAATAAGCACGAGTTCCTCCTTTATTACCACAATCAACTCGCATAAACGCGTCGACGCGACCGTTCCATCCCAGTCTGAAAGGTCACTTGCTCTGTCGAGCACGTCAGCACTCCGATATGTGTAGGTGCAGCATGAAGGAATTATGTGAAACTGCTGGTGTGTTCCCGAATTCATAAACAGTTTGATACGCTTAAAGCTACCACGGTTAACTAATGCCGTGACATGGAAATTTCCTAACTTATAATATAAACTGGACTTCACAGGCGGTCCTGGGTTGTCTTTTAGTATGGAGCGGCCTACTGCTAGTCAGCTTGCAATGGTTCCTTCGAAATGCGGCCTTTATGGCAATTCTACTCAAGGGGGATCCGAGCTACGTGTGACGGCGCGCCTAGATACGGCTCGGGCCGTGGGGGCGCCTGATGTTGTTAGTGAAAAAATGGGCAGTTACAGTGTGGGAAGGGAATTACGGAGTGGAACGCCAAGGTGCGGGCTCGAGCGTGCCATGCACCTGCACTTGCCTCATCTCCGGTCTTCTTGACTTTGTCTTGACATCTAGCCCAGAAGTGGGAGGGAGTATAGAGTGCGGTAGATGATGCGCGAGTCCATTACAACCGTGTCTGCTCCACATTACTGCAGAGCACAGAGTGGACATCGTCAGTATCGGCGGTCGAATTGTCAAGTTTCTGTAATGACGTCGAAAAACCAAGTAGACTTTTACGACTTTTAATCAGAGACAGGTCACGTCCCGAATTTGGAAAGAAATTTTCCCGTGTTAAAAAGAAAACTTTCTCCTCACATGTTCATTCCTATCGTCGGTCTACGAAATGAACTTGGACCCGTTTTTCACGGCCTTGTCATTCAGAAACCGAAAGAAGTGGATAGACTGATATCCGAAAATACACGGCAGCATGCGTTTGTTTTTGATTGCCATTTCTTTTTAGAAGCCTTGTTTATGACCGATATGCTTATGAGATAAGTGCTGTGCCGTACAAAATTTAAGCGTCTCTCTTTGACGGGGCACAAGTTTTCTTAATTTTCGCCTTGGAGAGTGCATTTCAAAAAGTCGCAATTATATCCGTCATGAAACTTATCGTTTCCGAAGAGGAACGCACAATTTAAAGAATGCGGACTGTAGGAACAGATTGGAGATGGAGATTGTCAAAAGCGATGTCTGAACTGACAAGTTTCCCCAATGAGGCCGACTAATCAAAATTGTCGGCAATATAGTCTTATGCAACGTTTAGCCAGATAAAGGTCACGCCCAGCAAGAAGAAAACATGCGAAGCTGCAGGTGTGTTCCTGAATTTGGCAAACAGTTTTTGCGTTTTGAAAGAACATTTTTCTGTCACACGCTCAAGTTCATCTCTGAAATGCGAGGGTACGCGAATTTCCGGTATGACTGACAAAGGTTATTACAAACTTTCCAATAATAAAAAAAACGTTTTTCCAAAGTTGCATAAACCAGTAAGTGCAAAGTGTAGAATTTTAATTGCCGCTAATTGATGGTCTTCAGCAAGAACCGTACCAATGGTGTCGATTAAAACGTCTTACTGAAATTGGGCATTTGGCGGAAATCCTGCGAGGTAACTGCTAAGCACGATCATTTAGCAAGTTCGACTGACAATCTCAAGCCCAATAGTTCAGACTAATTTAATCAAATCTATGGAATGTAACTGCGGATACTACTAATTTTTTTGACGGACGTTTAGGTTTTTACGTGGACATGTATTTGCGTCCTAAACGTCGTTCATTCAGGCGCGGTCATATGCAGCCAAGTAGATAGGTACTTACAGTAAGACACAACGAAGCTAGTGTTATTTCTTCTATACTTGAATGAACTTAACTATCTCTATATTTTCGATAACAGTCTGTTCTGGAATATCAAATGTACGTGCGGACAAGGGGGGGGACACGGAGCAATTTAGCAAGACCGCGGCGTGTGTTCAAATGTAAAAGGAGATGCCATATCTAAAGATACTCATCATCGAGTATGTGCGTCAAAGAAGTTTCGCTGCCGTTAACCTCTAGAAATTTATTTCAGCGAACGTATGTTGGCAACAGCGGCAAGGATGACTGTGAATGCATTTCAGTATTATCAGCCATCTGAAATATAATATGAAAAGAACTTAAATCCCAAATGACGTAGTTTGTCAAAAAAAGCGAAACATGTGTAGTACACGCATATATTTCTTGCTTTGTCACTCGTTTGGTTGCATTGTAGGCATTTGCTGTTATTTGTAGTGTCATTCAATGAAACATACAGTTTGCAAATATAATTTGACCATTGTTTCTGCCCGCAAACAATACTGGCATTGGGCTATGAAATGCTAACCTTTATTCTGAAGTGCGTTGCTGAATAGAAAGGGCTACTTAAATGGCGTTACGTAATTGATTACCGTTCAGCTTAGCGTCAAGCTGCGTTGGTCTGACGCGCGACCGCTGAAGTTGTGTCGACGTAACTCTGCACTCTCACTGAATTTGGAAGATTACCATCTATTAAACGTGACTATGTTAAAAGACTGCATTCTCAATGGCTTTGCCTTGC